ACCTGCAGAAGGACATCGTACATACTCTTCGCCAATTCATTGCACGAAACCATGCTGTGCGGAGCCTGCGACGCACCACTCAGAGAAATACGGGCGTCCATTTCGGCAGAATCCGCCTCCAGATCCGCATGAATGACCATGAGAGCGCGAGCTGTCGTCTCCTGACAGAAGATGTCTCCCGTTGCGGGCGAGGCGGTGAGAAATTTTAGCGCACCGGTTAAGTATAACAAGGCCTCTAGGTGAGCACTCAATTCCACTCTGGAGCATTCGCGCTCCAGATCATCCTGCTCGACTGAGGTTTGCACAGCAGAGAGGCGCAGTTCACTCAGGAGGCAGACCATGCGGCCTGTAGGGGGGGAATTGCATGGTGGTGGGAAAGGACAGTAAGCTTTTTTTGCGGTTAATTGTAAACGTGGAATAATGATAGCGGAGAAAATGGACTCACCACAGAGTTCTTCGTCATCTGCGAACAACTTGTCATTCTTCGGATCTTTAGAAAGTTGATAGAGGACTCTACAAATGTGGATCAGATTGTCGCCTTTTACTCGAATCTGTGAAAGAGAGAGGAGTAAAATAGCCCCAATTTATTCCACATTCTTTTTATAAAGGTAAGCCTATGGTGGTTATATATTATAACCACCTACTTACAAATGTTCGGTAGTGCTACTTTTACGGCATTTCATTTTCTGCTAAACGCTTTCCAGAACTAGAGAAATAAACACTTAATCCAGTGGAATAAATGGAGCTCTTCATTCATAGCCCCATATTGCAGAACGTTAACCCTCTCACTATCACCGTATGACGGCGTGGTCCAAGAGGGAGCAATGAAAAGTCATTAGGATTATTCAGGGGGGAGCGAATGAAACTAAAAGGATAAGTGTAGGGGATAATATTTGAGGACAGCTCACTTCGACTATTGGTGGTATTCGCTGGCTCGGGCATTATACGTGGACTTCTTTCGAAGGTTTGTCAGACTCCAAAACAAATATCCTTCACCAACAGTTAATGGTGCTTCTGTTTTTTTCTTGATATTTATACAAAAGTTTTCTTTTGTAGGTTACAGAGTCTTAAGGTGGCAGATATGCGGAGTGAAGGTAAACCTTACACGAGGAAGACGTGTTTAGCATTCTAAGTAGTA